AAAAAACTATTGCTATATAATTTGTCACATGCTTATGTCTTTACAATTAAATTATAAATTTCTTAGCATCTGAAACCATGCTTTGCACTTCTACGTATCCCTCAAGGAGTATAAATATAGCACACTGCTCACTTATTCAATAAATATGCACTGAGCATCTCCCACATGCCAGGCACTGTTCTGAGTGCCAGGGTATCGCAGTCACAAAATAGTCAAGGCCATAAGTACTCTGCTGGAACTTTCATTGCACTGGGGAAGCTAGATAAGTGAGTGCTCAAGTAGGTGCACAATATAATGTCAGATAAAGGTAAGTGGTATGTAGCAATGAGGGGATGTGAGAGAACGAATGAGGGGAGGTTACTTTAGTTAGGGAAGCCCTTCCTGAAAACAGCATATTTAAGCAGAAAGATGAATAACACCAAAAAGCCAACTATGGAATATACAGGTTACAAAGAAGATGGTTCTAGCCCAAAGGAAAGAGCTGGGCAAAAGTCAGGAGGCTGACGAAATTTTTTAAAGTGGAGGGACATCAGAATGATCAGTAAGGTTGGAACATATATAGTAAGTCAGACGAATGACTGTGAGATCAATTTAGAGTGGTGGGTGTTGATTAGACTGCGGTAGAGGGTTTGAACTTTGTTTTAAAATGATATGGAAGCAGTAGAGCATTTTAGACACAAGAGTGACCTAAATATATTTTTAGAATTTTAAAAGACCACTTCCACTGCAAGGTAGAGGATGAAATGCTGAGGTCAAGGGAAGAATCGGGAAGGCCAGTTGCAGGTTATTCTATTAGCCAAGAGAAGATATGACAGTAATCTGGATAAGGATGGTAGCAGGAAAAGAAAGGAAGTGGATAGATTTGGAGTATGCTTTGGCAAAGAGACAATGGGACTGCCCCACATGAGCAAGGAGGTAGACAGAGGTATTTCCTATATGCAAATATTCCTACATGAAGATATCTGGGAGAGGAATGGGCCTGGGAGGAAGAATAAGAAAGAGAATCAAGTACTTGATTGTATTAAAGTTGGGACGCCTAGAAGCTACCAGGATTATGTGTCAATTTTCCTGACTCTGGAGCTCATGAGCAAGGGCAGAAGTAGATATACATGCTTTTGGGAGTCAATGGCATAAACATTGTGCTACACATATGAAAGCATTGAGACATGTGAGAGAGTGATGCCAAAGATCAGTAGGGCTGGAACATACACAGGGAGAGAATGTATGCCAAAGATCTGGACATGGTCAGAAAAGGAGATAACCAGTCTGCCATCATGCATGTCACAAGAGCAAGATCAGTGTAGTGGTGAGAACTGAAGAAGATGGGATTGGGCTGAAGGAAGATTAGGAAGGCAGGATGGATAAGCACTCAATATAGACAAACTCTTCAAAATTTTTGCAGTAAAGAAGAGCAGAAAAGTAGAGCAGCAGTTAGGAGGGTTGGAGTCAAGAGAGGACTTCTGTCCACTCTGAAGTGGGAGATAGTAGAATTTATCTAAACACAGACAGAGGAAGAATATTGGTGACACAGAAAAGAGAGGGATGAACTGAACACATAAATCTCAACTATTGTCAATTTTAACATGTATTTAATTCACATTAGACTAAGGAGGAGGTAGTTTTGTAATATGATCTGACAATCTGCAGGATTTAAAACTGGGTGGAAGCAATAACAACAATAATTAAAAATATTATTATCATTTGGATATAGTTTGAATGCTCCTCCTACAGCTTTATGTGTCAATATCTAATCCCCACTGTGAGTTATCAAACAAGTGAAAACAATATTTAGAGAAGGGGTTGGGGGAGTTGATTATTATTACATGAGGTCATCAGGGTGGAGCCCCCAAGGTTGAATCCTAGGAGATTTACAAGAGGGAGCAAGATCAGAGGAGACATATTTGTGCCCCCTTGGCTCTTGCCATGTGAAGTCCTGGGTCTCTTGGGCACTCTCCCAGCAATAAGGCCCTTATGTGACATAGGCCTGTGAGCCTGTGGAATTGTGAGTCAAATAAAGCTATCTTCCTAACAACATTACCAAGCCTTAGGAATTTCATTAGAGAAATGCAAAGTGGACTAACACACATCTAATATCCATTACACACCAGGTACTGCTTTATGTTCTTGTACACATGTATTAACTCATCTTTCCTCCAAAGAGCGGTAACTGCCCCCGACTTACACTTGGTGAAACAGACAGGCAGGGAGGCTAACCAATTTGTCTAGTGTCAAGGCTGCAGGAAGTGACAGAACCAGGATTCACACTCAAGTAATCACACACGGAAGCCTTAACTACCAAGACAAACTGGTCAGAGGTTTCAAAGCTGCTGGCGTTTCCCCAGTTCGCTTCTTTTCAGCTGTCTCTTTTTTCTCAAGCATACAAAAAAGGATTAAAGAGAATTGTTTTTCAACCTTTCTCTGCTTGAGTCAACCTCATGTGATGATCACTGGAAAGACTTATTAATTCTTTCAAATACGTTCCTTTCAAAATGTGTATAAACCTCTTAATATGTATTAAAATACATTTTGACAGTTAAGCAGTATAGTTTTTTTTCACAAAAGCATTTCTTCTATATTCAAATTTGACACACATTTTTACATTATTTCAATAACTTTACAATATTTAACCGCTGGAATGCTCCACAGTTTAACTTTTCAAATATGCATATATACATATACACATATATGTATGCACTCACGTACTTATGTAAGAAACTGAAGCTGTTGGCAGAAAATTAGAAAATACAGTTAGGCAGAAAGAATTCCACTCATTATTTCCTTTAGTATATATTTACTCAGAGTCTATTTATGTCATGCAACCATCACAAATCAAGCTTTTGAATATGATATAAAAGCTTGAATAGAATACAAAGGAAAAAATTGCAAGATACAAGGCCATATGGAAAGTATGTGAAAAAAAAAACCAGTAAAAAAAGGGCTGGGGGTATATCTCAGAGGTACAACACATGTTCACCATGCACAAAGCCGCAAGTTCAATATTCTGCATCAAAAAAAGAGTAAAGAAATTAGGAAACAAAGAAAAGAAAGGAAAGAAAATCTGGCGCAGGTGAGTGCACACACGCAGACTGGACAGAACAGAGAGAGAGCTGGGGTGGACAGGCAGAGCGAGAGAGAAGAAGTAACGCTATCAAATTAAGCAGTAGTTGTTATGCTACCTGGTGAGATTAAAGATGATTTTTACTTTCTTCTAGTTTCTTTTTCTTTACAATTTTTCTATAATGAACACATAGTACTTTAATATTCAGAAAAAGTTTCTTCAAATTAAATATGTCTACATATTGTGCTGAAAGCATATGTATTTCATCATTACCAAACATCTCTTTTATCGCTAAAGTAGAATCCATTAAGGCAGCAAGGCCCAGAGTCCAGAGCATATGTGGATGTTTTTATTGTTTCAGTTATCCAGTAGTAATGCTGCAAATTAATCCACTGTCAGGAGTGTGTCAGGGTGTGTACATGTGTTGTGAGGCACTATATAATTACCCAGGTAATTAGTGTAGAGAAGTACAAAATAAATACAAAATAAATTATGGACAACTAACATGGAGCTTTACCTTCTTGCTACTAGATCTACCCAGCAGAGTGAGAAACATTAAAAGAGATCCTGGAGACATTTTCAAAGTGGGAGGACCCTGAAGTATAGGTAGAAAATTCAGATGCTTTTCTCTGTGTCTTTGTTTAGCCTACTTGTTTTTTTGTTTGTTTGTTTTTTTCCAGTACCGGGAATTGAATTCACGGCCTTGCACTTACCAGGCAGATGCTGTGCCACTGAGCTAAATCCCCAGCCCCTAGCCTACTTGTTAAGGTACCGCTTTTCTTTTTACTATGTATGTAAACGTTCAAACATGCTATATATATATATAATCAAGTACTCAAAAATATACGTAAGAAATCCCATTATCCAGTTTCAGTAATGACCAACATTATTAAAAACTTTCTTTCCAACTGTTTATCTTATACCTAAAAGAAATACTAACACTTATGAGCAAGAAAACTATATAGAAAAATTTTCTAGCATTAAATAAAAAAGAAATGCCTCTTAAAAACCTCAGCCCTCAGCTGTGAAGTCCCCTGCTGATGCAGTTACCACCTTCCCTATCCATTGGCCCTATCTCTCCCATGCTATGTTACTCAGTATTATTATGCATGGAAATCAAAGACCATTGAACAGAACTGGGGAAAATACTAAGCACCCCGCCCCCAAAGGCACGGGTGGCTGGGAGGGTGCAGGACAACTGGGCAGGAGCCTGGGGCGCCCAGTCTTGGTTTTTTTTTTTTTATTTTAGAAATTAAAGGAGGAAAATACTAACAGACCGACAACATTTTACAAAATAGCATAGGATCAGTACAGACATTACAGAGTTACAAACAGAGTGGTAGGGAATTAACAATGCTTACTGTATTACATATTGATATCTTCAATGTAGTTTCTCATGAAAACACATATAGACATACAAAGCTAATCAACCAATGCCTCACTGACAGTTTCTTTCAGCAAGGAAATACAGGACAGTAGAACACCCATGTTAACTATCCTGCATATACATATATACAAACTTTCTCCTTCTTTCCCTTCTCTCTTCCCATACAGTGATCACACAGTGGGGCTAGCGGGGCACTGTCATATACTGCCTCCTAGTTGTACCTACCCAGACTGTTGTCACTGCTCGTGGGCCAGGAAACAATTCTGTCCCTCAGCTTCTTCTTTTTACAGGAGTTATCTGACTTCACAGAGAGGTCTACTTCTTCCTTCCTGATTTCTTGAACTAGCTGCATGCGACACCTTGTAAAATCCTGAAAGGAAATCTTCCCGTTTTCATCAGCACCCAACTGGTTCATGATCTCAGCCACAGACTCTTCCATATTCAGCTGGCGACAGACCATCAGCAAGTCATTTCTACAGAAGGGGTGCACAGAAGAAAACCTGTTAGGACAGACACCTGATCCAGAGAAAGTGGCTAAGGGAAAAAAAAAGGGTATTTCTTAAATATATTTGCATGTAGTAGATCTATGTTCAGCTTTCTGCCAGAAAGATGCTACCAGAAAAATGGTACCAGAAAAACGGTAAGTGCTACCATTTTGCTACCAGAAAAATGGTAAGTGTACAAAACACCTGCTTTATCGGGGTTATTCCAGACAAAAACTCTATCATTATTTGAAAAGAAAAGGCTCGAATTAAAGGCTTTTAATTCTTTGTTTTCTTTTTTTCCTGATTCTAGGACCTCCTCTCTCTTTCCTTTGAAATTGAAGAGCTTAAAATTTTTCTTTACACCGGTGAGCATAGCACTGTAATCTCTCTGCAAGATAAAGTTTCAGAACACAGAAAGGACATTGTTTCTGCTCTTGGCAGAATCCACAATGTAGTCAAGTTTTTAAAAAAGGATTTTAATAAGCTTGATTTTCAGCCTTGTGAATCACAGCTAAATCTGCACTTCTGTAATCTGCTATTTAATCTTGACTTTTATGGTTCAGGGCTCACTTGCCTCTGTTTTTTCCTAATTTTGTTTCAGTGCTTTCTGTGTTCCCATTAGCAGTTAGCAGAGCCCTAAGACCTAGAGTAGGGATCAAAACCTCAAATGTCTTCCAGGACTAGATGCAATGCAAATGTGTGGAGTGGGTGGATCTAAGGCAAGGGGGTAGAAAAGCATAACTAGCCTACAGAGATTCCAATTAGAAAAAACAACATACAAAAGGAATAACAAGAACAACAACATTATGCAGACCAACAACACTTTTCTGGAGAACACCTGTTTGCTCCCTGATATATAAATTTTGTTCTTTTCTCTCTAACCACCTGTGGGAAACATTTTACTCATACTGCTTCAATCTAACTATACGTCTTAGTAAAAGTCAAAGGGTTATAGAATTTAAGAGTTGAAAAGATATTAACAGCTAGCTCATAGTCAGAAACAAAAGAAGTAGTACTTCCACACTATAAAAATTGACTCATCTTAAGAAAATGAGCAATGTGATGTCTTGTTTTTTTTTTTTTTTTTTGGTCTTTTTGAGACAGGGTCTCACTTTGCAGTTAGGCTGGCCTTGAGCTCACTTTGTAGCCCAGGATGGTCTCAAACTCGCATGATCCTCCTGCCTCAGCCTCCCGAGTGCTGGGATTACAGGCATGCACCACCATGCCTGGCCACCAATGTGATGCCTACTGATACCTGAAACCTAGCCATGAGAAGACCACTTCTTACCAAGCCACACATCACAAATCTCTTCTCCTGGTCAATGCCACCATGACCTCCTTAAGTTTGCTAGGCTCATGGAATTGTGGGACTTTATCATATCTTCTTACTCACTTTCACTGTGTGAAAATCAGGGTCGCCAGTCTGTGACACTAGTGAGAGATAGTGTAATCTTTAAGAGGTGGAGCCAGGAGGGAAGAAGCTGGGTCTTTGGATAAGTGCCCTTGAGAGAGATAGGAGGAGCCCAACCTCCTCCAGTTGCTCTACTTGATCCCTGTTATCATGAGGTCAGTAGCTTTGTCCCACTGCTCACTCTCTGTCACGATGTTCTACCTCACAACAAGCCCAAAAGCAACACAGCCAAGGGATGATGGACAGCAACTTGTGAAATGTGAGGCAAAGAAACCTTTCCTCCTTTTAAGTTAATTTTCTTTGGTATTTTGTCATAGTAATGGAAAGCCAACTGACATGGATAGATAAAGGGATCTCCTCTCTTCCCTATTATACTTTTATACTTATTCTTCATATTTTAATCTATAAGTATATCAGTCACTGAAACATTCTTAATTTATGCCATGCCTATGAGATCTGTGAGCTAAAAGCTGGTCACCTCGCTTTCATATGCCACCCTATTTTCATATCTCATTAAGAAATTTATGCACAGCTACATCTTTTATTTTGTGTGTAGGTATATGTCATTATGTATGTGCATATTATATATATGTGGCTTTATGTTTATTTTATATATATACGTACACACACATCTGTAAAGCGGATGGATGAGTAGATGAGTAAATGTACTTGGGAATAGACGTGGTAGATTATTATTAGTCTAAATTTTTCACTTGTCTGTAGTAGTGTAATAAATCTATAGTAGTGTAATAAATCTGTATCTTTACTTTGGCCTCAAAGCTGAGGACAGTCATGGCAGGTTATATACTTCTTTATCCCATAACTTCACTCCTGGCACCTAACTTGTCTGTCCCCTGGAATGTTAATGGACTTATATTTGTGCATCTGGCTTGCCCCATTCTGCTTCTGCCATCTACTTGAGAAGAACATACCATGCCATTACCATGAACCTGGGGCCCAAAATATGCCACCCCAGCCCACCTGCAGACTCACAGCCTAAGAACCACTCCAGCTGACCCCAAAATGTGTGCTTAAGAATAAATTCTTAGCCAGGTGTGGTAGTGTACACCTGTAACCCCAGCACTCGGCAGACTGAGGCAGGAGGATTACTGAGTTTGAGGCCAGCCTGGGATACACAGTGAGTCCAAGGCCAACCTAAACTACATACTGAAACCCTGTCTTAAAAAAAAAGAATAAATTCTTATTATTTATACTAATTAAAGCTAATTGTGCAGCTGATATTTTGTGATTATTTACTAGCAATAGCTAACTGATATGCTGAAATAACATGTTTTTTTAGGCATGTTTTCATATACTTATCTTTTTCCCCCCGCCCTTTGTACACCCTGTCTGATATTCAGCTGGACTCATCTAAGATTTAGGAATGGTTAAGATTGCTAAAACAGGAATGCAAACAGAACAAAAGGGTCCAGATTTTACTTTGGGTGTAGGGTACATATTATATTTTCTAAATAAGAAATTGTTTCATAAGTTTTTAGATAATAGTTTTAAAAATAAAACTTGGTGAGAAATAAAAAGGTGTTCTAAATCCCAAAAGTTCATGTCTTATGATTTTAATGTGAATATTCTCTAAATAGTAGAAGATGGTGTTTTACATCTTATTTTTGCTTGTCCATATTTCATCACTTTCTTTAATGTACTACAGTATTTTCACAAATTGATGTCATTTTACATTTTAAAAATGGAGACAATAATGGTACCCATCTTACAGGGTTGTTCTGAAGATAAATGAGATAATGCATGTAAAGCATTTACCATAGTTCTTGGCACATACTAAATACTCAATAAATAGCTGCCATTATTATGATTATTTTATAATTATTGATCATACATCTTCCACAATATCCCAGTTCCATGACTAGAGCTTTGGTAATGAAGCGTGAACTGCTCGGGAAAAGGACGCCTGCTGAGCTGAACTAACTACCTTACTAAGTGGAACAATCTGTCCACAGAGGCTTCCCTGCTTCCCTGCCTGGGTGCATTTGCTACGTGCTGTGTCCTGGTGAGAAACCCAGCTCTGTCTGGGCTTGTGAAGCCCCATTCTACTTAGAAAGAAGATTTGTGTTTAGAATTGTCAACTCAAAGTAGAATGTGTAACACTACACTTCTTTGTAAAAAGTAGGACACTGAGAGACTGGTTTGGAAGACAAAAACAAAATATATGTCATTTTGCTAATGTCAGATTATAATGTTTAAAACAGAAGTGCCAGTTTGGGGAATTTTTCTTTTTACTTTTTTTTTTTTTTTTGGTGCTGGGAATCAAACTTGGAACCTCTCAGTTACCAGGCAGGGGCTGTGCCACTGACCTACATCCCAAGCCCTGAAGTTCCAGTTTTTGAAAATGAAATTAAACCTAAATTCTTTGGTACAGAGGCACAAGGAGCAGCGATGTGGAGCGGGTTAGTGAGCGTTTGAGGGTGGTGGCTGCGCTTGGACCCGTGCGTGTGGAGGAGCCTGGGGGTCTCGACTCCTGGCTGGCTTGGGCATCTGCCATGAGGAGAAGTGAGGTGTTGGCAGAGGAGTACATAGTATGTCTCCAGAAAGCTCTAAATCACCTTCTAGAAATATGGGCCTCAATCAGGATTGCAGAGGACCGGCGCTTACAGAGAACTGAGGCTGTAAAGAAACTCGCTGAGGATCTCCTGGACATGATGATTACTGAAGAGGAGAGCCTGAAGGAAAGACTGCTCAAAAGCCTATCTCCCTGCCAAAAAGAGCTGAGCGGCCTGTACAGTGAATTACAGGTCGAGCCATTTCAGGGGAAGGAGAAACAACTATCCTGCAACTAGAAAAAGATCTGTGCAATCAGGTGGAATTAATGCGAAAACAGAAAATGGAGAGAAAACAGGAACGGAAGCTACTTCAAAAACAAGATCAAGGGGTTGGGGATTTAGCTCAGCGGCAGAGCGCCTGCCTGGCAAGCGCAAGGTCATGAGTTCAATTCCTGATACCACAAAAAAAAAACAAAACAAGATCAAGACCTCTGTGAAGTTCTTTCCATGCCCCAGTTCAACACTGACAGCACCTGTGTTCCCAGCTCAGCAGAGTTAAACTAGTTCAGACGACATCCGGCAACTCTGAGGGGAAAAAAAGGCTACTAGGTGCGAGGGGTTTCTCAACTTGATGTGACAGATCATATCATGTATGGAAAAATTAGATCACACTCCAGACACAAGCTTTGAAAGAGATGTGGTGTGTGAGGATGAAGATGCCTCTTGTTTGTCTTTGGAGAATATTACAACACTACAAAAGCTAGAAATGAGAAAATCACAAATGAAGCAGTGTGTGAGGTGCTGCTGCGTGCTCAGATCTGAGAGCTCTGGGACAGGCTACAAATACCTGAAGAAGAGAGAGAAGCTGTGGCCACGAGTCAAACTGGATGAAATGCCAAGGTCAGGAGAGTGCTACGTTTAGAAACAGATCAACTGGAAGAACTGGAAGTGCAAAACATGAAGAAAGTAATTGAGGCAGTTTGAGTGGAGCCGGCTCAGTACCGGGACCGAAGTTTTCATAGCCAGGAGCAGAGACCAGCTTTTGCTTCCCACTATGCCGAGGACTACACAGAAAGTCTGCAGCACCTGCATGATGCTGAGGTTACACAGTTAAAATACTACTATGAAGTTCACAAGGGGTGGTGTGAAGGTGTCCGGAAGTGGGCAGAGAACTAGAGGCTTTCTTAGAATTTGAGGGAAAAGCTTCAGGTCCAAATCCATTTACAAACAAGGGAGGAAATCTTCTAAAAGAAGAAAAGCAATGAGCAGAACTACAGAGAACACTCTCTACACTGGAAGAAGAGTTGAAGACACGGATTGAAATGCGGGAACAGGAGCAATCAATGGCATTTCTGGTGAATGGGCAGAAATTCATGGAGTATGTG